ATAATAAATAAGTACTTATTACATACCATTAGTATTTTTGCGAACTTCCCAATCTTTTATAAAATAATCTACATATCATTTAATAACAATTAGATTATTTCTGGTAGTAGGTATATTGGAGATATCTGGAAGATATTCTTCACTAACTGTTTGATTTGCTAATAAAGTTTTATCATTATATACAAGTATTTTTTGTGATGTAATTTAATCTTACGATAAAGATAATAAACTAAAGTTGGATGTGTTTTATGATAAAAATGTCTTGTATTGTTAATTAACACTTCGGCTTGAATAGATTCATTATCACTTTGTTCATTATAAATTCTTTTTCTAATTTATTTAATAGCTTTTAGATATCATAATAAAGAAGAAAAATTATTTTTGTTCTGATTATTGGAATTATAATTTCTCAGTAACATTTCAAAGGGATCTAATTTGTTAAAATAAGACCATTATGATCATTTAAATTAACTTTGCATTTATTATATTAACTAGTTGTCTATTGTTATTGTTATTAGAACTATCAAATCCTTTTTGTTGAACAATAGTTATCAATTCTTCTATTTTATTTTGTTGATCTGCAAGTTGTAATTTTACTTTTTCTTCGAAATTCTTCAATAATTGGTCTTTATCATCAAATCTTCTTTGATGTTCTATATATTGTAATTTTATAAAATCTTCAAAAGATTGTATTGCCATGTAGATTTGAAAATTAGCTATTTGATTTAACATAATTGAGAATTTTTGTTTGTATTCTTTAAATTTATAGATAATGAGTAGAAGAGTTACAAGTAAAAGTCACAAGTAGTAGAAGATAAAAATTTTATCTCTTTATTTATTTTTTTTCATTAAATAAGCAATTATGATTTAAATCAGATTTAAAATCTGATTAAAGTTCTTTATATACATACAATACATATAATTTTGACATTCAATTATATTTTATATAGGTTGTATCCTATCTAATTCATTATAGATTATATCTAATACAAAATTTAATTAAAAGTCTGATGTCTATTTTTTTGGTAGTGCTCATATACCATTATTAATATTAAATTATTTTTTATTTTATATAGCTGCTACACTTGAAAAATAGAAGGTCAGATTAATAAATAAAGGATTATGTTGAAGGTTATATTGCAGATTATTATGATTGAAAGCATAGTAAATATGATTAATTAAGTAAACAAAAACTGAGCTCGTTTTGTGTTAAGTTAAAAAAAAAAGTATAAATCTGGTAAATTACATAATTAATATAATTAATTATATAATAAATATAATTAATTATATGATTAATATAAT